CTCCTTCATTCTTCCCTTAAAATGTGTAAAATGTTGAGAAGGAGAGTATAAAAAACCCAACTGGAAGGCATAATCCAGCATTAATACAATTAGAGTTTAATTTAACCGCTTGCACACGCAGATGTAGCTGAGCTGCAGGAGTGCTGTTCCCCCCCCCCCCCCCCCCCCTTGGATTTTTTTTTTCTTCAATGCAGCAGAGTGCTGGGGGGCTTTGAGCAGAAACAGGTGTGAAAAGTGATATAATTCATTCCTGCACTGGCAGAGGAGACCAGAAAAAGTTGGTGAGGGCACTAGGAGGTGGAGGATTGTGCAGTATTAGAGGAGGTTGAGTGAAATAAATGGATGGATGGATGGATGGATGGATGGATGGATGGATGTGACATTGTTTGATTCTAGGATAGCATGTGCAGAATGGAGTTAAATGTTAAAATGTTATGGGATTAGACCTTGTGTCAGTGGTTTATACTGGGGTCGATGAAACCAAAAAGCAAAAGTGAAGAGTATGAAAGTTTGTTTACATGGAAACTTTTTTTTTCAAAACAGTTTTTGTATTTGATGTTTCTTAAAATACCCTTGTACACATGCACAATTTCTAGAAATGTTTTGGACCACAGGAAAACAAAAAACAGCCAAAAGCTATAGTTGCTATGCCAGGCCTGCATGTGGTGCTGTAACCCTGCCACAAAATAAAAAAAATAAATAAAAAAAAACAGGAAACAATGCATGCACATGAAGCTTACATGCTTAGTACAAAATGCAAACACAAGAAGAAGAAGAGGACAATCTTTGGTCATAGGTTAGATGAGCGGTAGAGCTGTAAGAGTTGTTTTTAAAATGTTCTGTTTTTGATGTCTATACAGAAAAAGCAAGGTTAGATTTTTAAACTTTTATTACTGTGGAAATCATTTTCAAAATATACTATTTTGTAGTTCCTAAAATGAAGTTTTTGTGTGCATGCAAGGTTGAAACTGGAAAAAAGTTCCCCTATTCACAAAAAACATTCATGTGAGGATGACTTTAATGCCAATATGAATATTATATATTGAGGACTTAATAGGACCAGAACCTCTGAATTAGGTAAACACAGTCCATACACTCAAAGCTAGCCTAAACAACAGAAGGTAGGAGAAAAAAAAACTATTGAGGTCAGAGTTCATCATTGCCTCAGATGCCATTATTCTTCTGCTGTTTATTTCTGGAATCTGGATATGTCAGCAC